TGTTTTATACTCGGCGTTAACATTTCTTGGCATTGGAGCGAAGGCTACAGAGCCGAATCGCGGGCATCTTACCGTGAGCGAAAGTAGTTCTACCACAGCACCCTTATTTTCATCATGAAATATAGAAGTTTCCACTTTATTTTCGAAGTGGAGCTATTTAGAAAAGGACGCAGATCACACTAATAAGACATTTTTAATGCCAATATTTAGCTGTTAGACTTCGCGTTCTTGAACGCGTGAAGAAGTGTCACCTTTTCAAGTGAACCTCAAACGCTAAGCGGCGTCTACGTCTACATGAAACGTTGATGATGTGCCTCCGTCACTTGCCATAGCGTTACCAGACGCGCGGCACATCGGACTGCTTCGCGTAGTGCTACAGGTGCAGAAGCTCTGCCTCCGTAGCTTTCCCTTCAATGCCAAAAAACGTTGTCGCCGAGCATAGAAAGAAGGACGCACGAAACCAATGCACAAGCATACATAGAATGAGCGTAAAGAGTTGCGAAATTCGCTTCGCTAAGCTTGAACAAAGCGCTCCTTTGGCAAATGCAGCCGCTGCAGCAAGCAAAGTGACCCTCATGTGCTCTTGGCCTTCCGCCTTGCGCTCAGAAAAAATATTTGGCAGCATATCTACGGACTGAATGATGGCGATTGAAGCGAAGCATTCATCCATCAATTCTTTCTTTCTTCCGTCCGTCTATGCGTCCGTCTGTGTGACCATCCATGCGTCCATCCACCCGTCCGTGCGCCCGTCTGTTCGTGCGTTCATTCATGCGTTCGTCCATGCATCTGCCCCTGCGTCCGTTCACGCGTCCATCCATGCATCTGTCTGTGTGTCCATTCGTACATCTATTAAACACTCCAAGTACCACCATCTCGCATCTTTTCATCATATATTCCTCATATAGAAGCACCGCCATCCAGCGGACATTCCAAGGACTAAACGAGAGGTGCCACACGCACACTTTCATACATCTTGCGCTTCGGGTCCACTGCCCACCTTTAACCACCTCGAGTTCATGGTATATACCAGTTCACTGTATTCATGGCCCGGCGGCTCAACTCTCGCTAAGCCTTCTTAAAACTAAGGAGGTTACACCCAGCGAGTATAACGTAGCAACCCTTTCCTGTCAGATAGTGCTCAATGTACATGCCTATGGCTGCCAATGAAGATCGCAGCGTGCGCGTTAACTAAAAGCCGAATGCTCCTGTCTCTCATTCCTCATTAGCAGCCATTGGCCTGTACATTTAGCACTATTTTTTATTGTTCAACAACGCACGAAAAAAGCTCTCGTTGGCACCATCTTGGAGGTCAAAATGTTATACTTGTCACATACTACAACGGCTACTAGGGACGAACCGGTGCCGCTATAAGGAGCTTCCCCCCTAAAACCTACAAACCGCTTCCATCACAAGATAAGCGCGCTTCCCACGGGCGACCACCACCTGTAGAAAAAAGTGCAGAGGAGGCGCGCACGCATTGCACCAAGCCAGGCGACGAACTTTAAATATGTGTGAAAAATGCCGCTCGCGCCCCTTCGCAGCGTCTCACTAGTTTTGCAGAAAACCCACTGAAATGCCACTTACCTCTGAGTACTACTAACGGTAAATTGTGTTTGCAATCACGAAGCGGTCAGTACAGTGAAAACCTAAAATGTGCGCTTTGTGGCAGAGTCGTTCAGCACCGTGTGCTGTGGATTAGTAGGTTGTAGGTTGTATTACCAGCGGCAGAACATCTTATTCTAGTTTTTCTGCCTGATCTGTTACCGTGAGTATTATAACGTCTTGCACTTGACAAAAATGCATCAGTGATAACTTCCTGGGCCCTACCACACTATGTATTAGAGATCAATTGCATCATTTTGAATGGAAGCAAGAAAATAGTAAGGCTTTTCAACCTAGTAAATATGATGGAAACATTAGGGTGAAGCAGCACGAGAGCTATTTATTTACCATTTATATACGTAAATTGTATTTGGATAATAATTCAGTAGTTGCCATACACAGGCGCTACTTATATGTTTCAATTTATATGTGTTGACAATGATAAAGTGAACGACACCCAGTAAAGGAAAGACGTCGTATTTGCACCGGAACTGAAGAGCCAACACGCACCTGCATGATACTCTAGAACTGTAACCATCGGTATTAAATTTAGAGTACCGAAGTACAACAAGCGTCGTCTGTGCGATGAGCCTCAGCACAGTACATACTGTTTACGCTGGTCTGCTAATGATGTCTGTTTCTTAGATACCCCAGAAGCAAGCAATCAACCCGAAATCTAGGCTAAGCTTTGGCGTTTGCTGTATCCTAATAAGGCACATCGACTAACGTAATGGAGAGTAGATGTACGAGCGCAAGTGGACATCTGCGCTTGTCACTTACAGGCGCTTGTCATATGACTGTGGGGGACAAAGAACCATTAGCCTTGCACGACAACACTGCAATAAGCCATTCACAAAAGACACACAGGGGTCTATTGACTATACTCTTACTAGAAGAGTCCCCGGAGTTTCCCCTGCCAATCGGCATACCCACTTGGAGACCATCAAGGCAGTGTGCGTGAAAGCACTCAACCACTATGCTTATCGGAGGTGTAGACGTCCACACTTTGCGAGACCTCCGTGAGAACCTCAGAGTGACATGGGAAGAGGATAAAGGAACAAGTGTAGATGGAAATATTTCTGGTCGCGAAAGTGAACCAAAAGACAGTCAGACGGAAAAGCAGATGAGGGCTCTGTAACGAAGTTGACTTACTTAGTCATGCAGGTTCTTCGTGTTACGGACATTTCTTTGTTACCAAGAGGCGAAGTTGGTTTACACACACACACACACACACACACACACACACACACACATATATATATATATATATATATATATATATATATATATATATATATATATATATATATATATATATAGGGGAAAGAAGCGTATACCTAAGGGCTCGTTTTTCAGTGTTTTGACACAATATTAATGAGATTTAACAGACAGTAATGCCAAGGAATGTACAAAGGAAGTTATTAGAACCAATGGGATTTAAATTAGAAAAAAGAAAAGTGGATGAAAAAATAACCAACCAGCCTGCTCACGGCTGGTTATTTTTTCATCCACTTTTCTTTCTTCTTATTTACATTTTATTGGTTCTAATAAGTTCCCCTGTACATTCCTTGGCATTACTGTCTGTTATATCTCATTATTATTGTGTTAAAACACGGAAAAACGAGCCCTTAGCTTACACTTCTTTCCCTTATTCCATTGAACGAGGGTCTCGTACTCGCAGACTTCGTGGGTTTAGGTTGTATAAGAGGGACAATTATTCACCTGCCCACTCATAATAAGTTCACGTGCTACGCGACGCCAAACATGCGCATAAGAGTGTTTTCACACTCGTGTTTTGCCTCATAGATGGCGCCGACTGTCACTCCTACTTCTAAATTCACATATACACCCAAAAAAGTGGACGGAGGGAAGGCCGCTGTGGTGGCTCAGTGGTTAGAGCATCAAACGAGTTATTCGAAGGTCGTAGGTTTGTTTCCTGCTCACGGCTGGTTATTTTTTCATCCACTTTTCTTTCTTCTTATTTACATTCCATTAGTTCTAATAACTTCCCCTGTACATTCCTTGGCATTACTGTCTGTTAGATCATTTATATATATATATATATATATATATATATATATATATATATATATATATATATATATATATATATATATATATATATATATATATATACCCATGTGTTTGTTTCTTCGGCCTGACTGAGTACGTAGGCGTCATGGCAACTTTTCAACTGTCTCACTTGGTAATTGCTGCAGAATTCAGGGTTCACACAGGAAACGTTCTACTATACGCTCAAAAACAAATCTGCCTCCATATACGTGTATGACAGGACCACCTTCAGAATGTAACGAAACGTTTATATTCACGTTCCGAAACAAGTTCATCCTTTGCCAGCCCTAGAAATGAAATACAGGCACCATGAGAAATGCATGCAGGTCCAGCTACACCCTCTCAAGTCGGCCACTGGAAGCAGCAAAAAAAAAGCCAGGCCTGCACGAAACGCACAGCAGAGTCACAGCAAAAGCTAGAAGGGTGGCCTTTCAGAGCTCTTTCTAAACGCTCTTTGGGCAACTGCTACAAGCGCACTGCTAGGTTACCTCTTGCGCCATAAATAATGATATTTGTTGTGTATTAGGCCAGCAGTCATTGCACTATCATTCGTCATTTTTTGCAGAAGCGTGGTATCTGCTGCATATGGTTAGGATTTTTATGCAAATATTTATGAAGTGGCTGACGACGATGAATTATGCGTGGAGTGGTATGCGGTGTTGTAACGGCGCATGCGGCTGTCATCTGGGGAACAGTGGAAGAAAGGAGGCGACGGCAGTCCAGGCGATCGGCAAGCAAGAAAAGCCCTGCCATTTATTTCGCAGTGGTTTAAGTAGCAACTGTGGCGTCAATACCACGCGTTTTCATACATGGGCCAAGCACGGTGAATCGGCGCGTCATGTAGCAGCGCGCTTTCAGCAAACGGGAAACACATAACAGCACATCGCCCCTTTTGCAAAGTAACAGTGGTTTTGGGCGTGGAACTTAGAACATTCACAAATGAACAAAACCCAGAACCCTTAGGGGTAACTAACCACGAATAAAAGCTTATTCATCAATACCGTAGCGAACCGGTCGCTTAACCACTCTGCCAGACCTGGTCACAGTCACGGAAGCAGAAGGTGCTGACGTGGAAATCACAGCCTCAGGTTCTGTAGGCATTGAAGCTGACGTTGATGCGGCTGGTGGAGCGCTTTCCGTCGAAACCAAGTCGGATGACTCGCTCTCGTTTGGGAACTCGTAGCTTCCTTCATGCTTCCCCTGTTGTGGCATGCGGTTCAGCATTCGTCTGTTACGGCGCAGCGTAACCTCATCCTCGGTTCGTATTATGTAGGAAAGGGGAGTAGCGGCTATCGCTAGCAGAGTTCTTCTGGCTTTCATATCCGTTACTCAAACAGAATCACCTGGTGTTTATTCAATTTCCTGGCTCGGTGGCGTTTGTTGTAGTACTGTGTTCGCAACTTTTTTGTTGCTCTGTGTTTGGTCACAAGAGGAAGCAGCGGTGGCTGCACTAGATCATGGAGCTGCGGTGCCATTGGAACTGTTGTCCGAAGACGCCGGCCCATAAGGATTTCTGCCGGGCTGCAGCCGAGGACGCCTGGAGTTGTTCTGTAGGCAAGCAAAGCCAAATATGAGTCCTTGAATTTGAGTATCAGGCGCCTAATTGTTTGAACCATGCGTTCTACTTCCCCATTAGCCTGAGGGTACCTAGGACTTGCAGTGACGTGACCAAAGCTGTAATCATGGACAAACTTCTCAAACTCGGTACAAGAAAACTGTGGTTCATTATCTGTCACCACGATTTTTGGAGGGCCATGACGTGCAAAAATGCTTTTTAGCATTTCCATAACCTCACCAGTTTTCGGTGAGGGAAGAAGGGCTACTTCTGGATACCGCGACAGGTAGTCGACCACGACAAGGTAGTGACAGTTGCTGACAAAACACAAGTCGATCCCAACTTGTTCCCACGCGAAACTTGGAGTTAAAGTTGTGATTGCAAGCTCACTGTTCTGGGGGACGAACCGTGCACAACTAGCACATTCTTTTACTTGCCGTGCGAGTTGGTCGCCGAGGCCTGGCCACCAGACTAGTTCTTTCACCAAAGCTCTTGTCTTTGAGATGTCCTTACGCCCATCATGGAGCTTGGTTAGTACTTCTTTTCTTAGGCATTGACGCAGTACCAATCCAGTCCCCTTTAGCAACATGCCATTGCATTTGGCAATTACGGCACGTTCCTGCCAGTATGGAGCTAGGAAGCAAGGAAGTTTTGGTTTTTCTGGCCAGCCTTGGCGATAAAACTTCAGCAAGGCCTGACAAACAACGTCCGTCTTTTAAGCATCACGTACTCTGTTAACAAAATTGTCGCCCGTTTGAAGCCCTTGTACACAAGATTTAACAAATGAGGAGACTTCCGAGATGGTCAGTTCACCGGCGAGTTTATCTGCTTTCATCGGCGCTCGTGAGAGAGCGTCCGCCGTAATCAAGCTTTTGCCGCGATTATACACAATTTCAAATTGATACCGCATCAACCGCATTCTGAAGAGCTGCATTTTTGTGCGTCAACAAATTGATAGGCATTTTACCGAGCAACGAGACAAGAGGTTTGTGGTTTTTTCGAACGTCACATCGATACTTCGTATATATTCGTCAAACCTTTTGGCAGCACATGTTTATGCTGGTGCCTCCTTTTTGACTTGCGCATAGCTCTGCTCAGTTTTGGCCAATGACCTTGAAGCGGACGCTATCGGGCGGCGCTCATCATTACGTTGTTTTTGGAAAAGAACGGCCCCGAGACAAATCGAGGAGGCATCAGCCGAAAGAATTGTGGAAAGTTGTGGAATGTACATGGCCATACACTTTGCCGACCATATGACAGCTTTTAAGCTGACGAGAGCTAAGTTCTGAGATGGACCCCAAACCCATTTCGTCTCTTTCTGCAAGAGTGCCCGTAGTGGGGCAGTGGTTTGCGCTAAGTTCGGCAAAAAGCGGCCTAGGTGATTGGCCATGCCGAGAACACTGCGCATCCATGAAATATTCAAGGGCGGATTCAGCTCTTTAATGGCTCTGAGTTTAGCCGGATCAGGCTGTGTGCCTTCTTCACTAAGAAAGTGACCCAAAGAGCTCGTGCTTCGTGCTTCAAATAAACAGTTTGCTTTGTTAAGCGTAACGTTACACGGGACCAACCTAGCTAAGACTTTCGATAGCTTAGAATCATGTTGCTCTTTGCTATATCCAACTATGAGAATATCGTCCATCAGGTTATCGACACCAGGAAGGTCTGCCAAGATTTCAGACATTCCCCTTTGAACGTACTCTGGGGCTAAAGTAATACCAAACGGCAACCGGGTGAAACAGTACCACCCAAACGGCGTAATGAACGTGGTCAGTAGTTCTGAGGCCTTGCTGAGTCGCACTTGGTGGAAGCCGAAATTCGCGTCTAGTTTAGAAAAACAATTCGCGCAAGTAAGTGAGCCTAGTACTTGGTCTACAATAGGCAACGTATACCTTTCTTTTAAGACAAACTTGTTTAACTGCGTAAGGTCGACAAAGATCCTCACGTCTCCCGAGAGCTTTTGTAAAGGAACAACGCCGGCCCACCAATCGGTTGGCTGTTCGACTGCCCGAATTACGCCCCTTTGTTCCATCATATCCAGTTTCTGCTTCACAGGTTCTTGAAGCGGTATAGGAATCCTGCGTGGAACGCTTACTGCAAATGGAACTGCGTCTGATTTTAGCCTGATTGCATAGTCCCCGGGCATACAGCCCAAGTCATGAAAAACCTGAGAGCACAAATTCTCGTCGTCAGACTTTTTCTCAGCAACAATGTCAGCGAACTTAATATTTTTTCATGCTTCCAGAGCTGGCAACCATAGCAGCACATTGCGCAAAGGACTGACGACACAACATGTTTGGCGAGAAGTTTGTTCCTTCCAAACTATGTCTGCCTGAAACTTGCCCAGGACATTTATTCAGGCACCGCTAGCGCCTGTCAAGATGTCGTTGGCCTTTTCTAAGCTCATGGGAAGTCCAAGAAACGATGCTGAAAATACGGACACTTTTGCCCCCGAGTCAACCTTCGTGAAAACAGACATTGCATTAACCAATACCTGAACGTAACGCGCCTTGGCACCAGGCGCCTCCACTGCGCCTAGAAAGCATTTCTTAGTGTCTTTTTGTTTGGACGACACCCGTACCTTTTGCTTGTTGCTTGGGGAAGTCTCTTTGAGGCTAACCTTTCTAAAATGTCCCTTTACGCCGCAGATAAAGTACTTCTGCGCTCTAGCTGGACAGTCTGTCTTAGGGTGGGAGTGGCCGCCGCAGAAGATGCACTGTCTTTCGTAACGAACTGCTGGCGGCCGGATGTCCTCACTGCGGCGCGGTTTCGTGCAGCGACCCAATGCGTCGACGTCGTATTTTTACATCGATTGGAGTGAGTGCTGTTGCGAACTTCGTTTGAGTCGTGAAGCTCTGCTTGTTGCTGCTGAACTGTCTCTTTCAGGCGGGCCTTCGCTAGAACTGTCGCGAGAGATAGCTTCGGGTTCATTTGGAGCGACTCGGATTTTTTTTTTGTCCCGCAGGCCAAGGACTAACCGGTCTCGAATGAGGCGCTGCTTGAATTCTCCGAAGTCGCATTTTCCCGCCAAGATGTGTAGAGCCGTCATGAACAGGTAATACACTCACCCGGCATCTGGTGCTGCTTGTGAAAGCAAGCGCTTTCGTACACAAAGTTGGTCTCCTTGATGAAGTACTCGTCGTACTTCTTTTTGACCAGCTCAAACTTTTTTGAATCTTCTGCAGAGAGATTGAAGGTAACGAAGATGTCCATTGCGTGCCGCTCAATGGTGTACAGCAGAGTGCGCACTTGCGCCTCTTCCGAGCGCTCATTCAGGCCCGACGCATATCGATAGTCGTCAAATTTCTGTATCCATGCCGGTCACTTCAATGTAGTATTGTCACGGACGGCTATTTTCGGCGACACCGCGTCACGGCAATTGACGGGCGCCGTACTCCCTGACTGACCGTGAGAAACGGCGGCACATGAAAGGGAACCGATAAGTGCAAAATGGGGGTGCTCTCCTTAGAACGTCGCCGCCGACGGTTAATCCTTTTGTAACTGTGGCGGCGTCTGCAAGGTCGTAGAAGGCCGCGGTATACCCGGTACAAGGATTAGACTACAAGACGCCCGGCTGAGAGCTAAGTGGTTGACCGTTCCCACGAAGAAAAGCGTGGGAAACGCTCTGGTGGCCAAGCCGTATGACAACAACCCGACAGGTTGTCACTCTCGCTAGTTGCGGGCCCTCTCCCTATTAAAAAGGGGTGGGGTCAAAATATTTTTGGGGCGGAGTTTCCCCTCAATTAAACGCGCATGATTGGACCCAGGTAGAGGTCTCTTGTCCCCAAGGAAGAGAGCGAGGCGACACGAGGGGGATTTAAGAGCAGGACTTTGCCCTGCTAGGCAGACTAGTCGCTGACCAAGATGGTGTAGAAACAGATCAACAAGCATCTCTTCTAGAAGTTTTTAGTGTGGCTCTGTATCGGCTGGCCACCTAAACTTAGCCGTTCGTCTAGTTGTGACGCGATATTAACGTCTGCAACGTAGACATCGGGACTTCGCCTCGAGTTAGCTCAACCTGCTCGAAGTCACCTGCAAGCACTAGCCTCCCGGAGCCACCAGCGTTGCAACACCGCCGACATCGCAGTCGTGCCAGAACTCTCTTCGACTTCTCGCATCCGATCGTCGGGGACACAACGCTGCCGGTCATCACACGTATGCCTTCACCTGTTTATATCTTCGAACTTTCTCCTCCGTCGTTCTATTCTTGTTAGTTGGTGTAGTTTGTAATAGTTCTCTCTCGTAAGCTAATCTATTGTTTCTGTTATATATTTCTTTAGTTGTATCAAGTGTTGATATATTTTGTTAGTCGTATTGAAGTGTTGTATTAGATCCCGTGTGCTGCAATATTACTAGAGTAAAGTTGTTTTGTTTTCTCACGTCTCTGATCTCTTCACTGTCTCTGCTTGCGTACGGAACGAACCAACCTGCTGTCATTCCCGTCGCCGACTTCGCGCTGGCGACGCTAGAGTGGCAGCTTGTAACAAAACTGGCGTCCGCGAGACAGGACGTTCCGTACAAGAGTAAGACAGTGAGGGGTGAACGAGAACCGTGCGGATAGCGTGCTATAAAGCCGCACAGTTGAAGCGGTTGTATCCTGCAATGATTGCGCTGTTTTTATAGTGGCATTATAGTGACAGTTGCAGTATGGAGTGTAGGGATTTTGATAAGTGGATCGCGTACGGTAAACAGTTAGGCCTCGAGGGCGCCGAACTGAGACAATGGGTTATGAAGCAGCAGGAACAGGCGCAGGCGTTAGCCAGAGAAGAGCGGGCACTGGCCCGGGAGGAAAAAGAAAGGGAGAGAGAACACAAAGAAAGGGCGAAAGAACGAGAAGCGGCTAGGGAAGCGGCAAGGGAGGCCGGAGAACGGGAAGTGCAGTTACTGCAAATAAAGATTCGCCTCAGTGAGGGCAGCAGGGTTAGCCGATCCAGCAGTGAGCACGGCGATGCCGGCGAGAAACTGTCATTTGAGCGAGACACATGGTGTCAAGGGCTGCTCACGGTTCTGCCTTGCGAGGCAAATGAAGCTGTTGCGCGACTCAGTCAGCAGAACGCGAACAACGAGGTAGTTAAGGCAGAGATGCTCCGGATATTCGGAACTTCTGTCTCGACAAAAGGAGAGCAGCTCAGACAAGAGTCTGAAAGAGAGCGCGAAGCAGAAAGAAAAGAGTCTGAAATCAAAGCACGTCGGAAAGCGTTGGACATTGAAGCGCGTCATGAAACGCCAGAACCAGAAATCGCGCTAGAAAAGGGCCCGCATATTCTCGAATGCATTCATATAAATGATGTAGAGAATGAGGCCTTGGCCGGTCTCGAGGTAGAGACAGTATCAAAAAACGGTCCTAGCGAGGATGAGCTGTGTGCCAGCAGCCCTAATGGACCCAGTAAGAAGCTGGAAACCAACCTCATGCCTCGAGAGGACGTCTCGAGATCGTCACATGCAGATAGGGTTAGCACAGTGGCTAAACACAGCGAGAACGCGACGCTTCAGGAGTGCAGCGACGCCATCGGAGAGGGCCCAGTTAATGGTTTCATCAGCATTAACAAAGATAATGTGGCCCGGCAGTCCGTCGTTACACCGAGTTCAGAATGTTTGAGCGTGGGGCAAAATGTAACACAAGCTCCAACGAGCTTCCCGACTTCTCAGTTCCCGACGCGACTTGATGATGGCATCGAGAGAAAGGGGGCAAGCAAACATCGCCGGAAACGAAAGAAGCGGAAGCGCACTGCGCTGCGCAAGCCTAGGTCAGGCCCCACTCAGTCGCAAGAAAGACGAGAGGGTAGGCCATTAGTCCGTTTCAAGGAACGTCAATGGTGACGTTCAGGGAAGCACAAGCGGCGAGCTAGGTGTAGAGGGAGGAAACGAGGTACGCCACCCCAACGCAGCGTGCGGTTCAGTTCGACAAATTCGGGAAAGCGGCCTTTGCCGAAGGGTCAGAGTCGAAAGGGCAGAGTGGCTAAATACCGCATAGGGGAGAACACAAAAGAAAAATGGCACAGGCTTCCCCCCTGCTTCTCGTACCCCTTTCACATTACCGAAGAAAGCCGGCCGAAGTGCAGAATGAGGCGTGACGGCAAAACACAGCCTAACGTTCGTGTGTTTAGTAGCCTCAGGCCTGATGAAAAATCGCCGGGACCGCGACCCCATCGGGTGCGATTCAGGCGAATCTATTGTAGAAAAGGGGGCACGGTCAGTTGAGTAATTGTTGCACGCGCGTACTAAGTATAAATATTCAGGGCAACATTGGAGATTCATGTTTGAGTCGTTTTAATTTTGTATAGGTTACAAGATTTGATGTAAAGTTTTCAAAAGGAAAACCGCTGAGCCAAAAGCTGAAAGCTAGCATAGAATTAGTTTATTCATGAGTGCGAAAATTTGCATAAAGTAAAACCCGAGAAAATGTGTCATTTTTCTAGTTGTTTCAAAGGTTTAGTGTGGCATCGTATGCCTCCACTGCCATGGGGATGTGGCATGAATGAGCATTTGAGGAAGATGTTAGCATAAACCGAATGATTTCGTAAATTGATTAAGATTGGCGTGACCCGGTACAGTTGTCATTGCGCGCATTGAGACTTGAGGTCTATGAGCATGTTTTTTTTTCCCTTCCGTCGGTTGTTTTCTGTTTGTATGGGCGTATTTCATTGTATAAGAAGTGTATTTTGAGTTATTTTCTTTTGGCTTGGTGTATTGGTTGTTTTTTACTTGCTGTAATGCACATTGAAGGATTGCACTACAGTAGAGGAGCGCACCTGTTTCGTTTTGTTTCGTAGTATACATTCGTGCAGTGTATTCTCTATTGATGGCTGCCGTACACGGCTATTTCCTCTTCTTGTTTGTATGGCGCACTGATATTGTTGCGTGTAAATGAAGCTGGTACTCTAACAATTGTTGTTTTTCCTTTTGTTGTTACTTTGATGCACTCTGCCTATGTATGTTGTGTATGAGAGGGACAGTCCTCATGCCTCCCTTGTTGGTGGTGTTTTGTTCCTTGTTGTCGAAAAAATTCCCCTTCAGAATGTTATGTTATTCCCTTTCAGAATGTTATGAATAACATTCTGAAAGTGGGGGGCAATGTCACGGACGGCTATTTTCGGCGACACCGCGTCACGGCAATTAACGGGCACCGTACTCCCCGACTGACCGTGAGAAACGGCGGCACATGAAAGGGAACCGGTAAGTGCAAAATGGGGTGCTCTTCTTAGAACGTCGCCGCCGACGGTTAATCCTTTTGTAACTGTGGCGGCGTCTGCAAGGTCGTAGAAGGCCGCGGTATACCCCGTACAAGGATTAGACTACAAGACGCCCGGCTGAGAGCTAAGTGGTTGACCGTTCCCACGAAGAAAAGCGTGGGAAACGCTCTGGTGGCCAAGCCGTATGACAACAACCCGACAGGTTGTCACTCTCGCTAGTTGCGGGCCCTCTGCCTATTAAAAAGGGGTGGGGTCAAAATATTTTGGGGGCGGAGTTTCCCCTCAATTAAACGCGCATGATTGGACCCAGGTAGAGGTCTCTTGTCCCCAAGGAAGAGAGCGAGGAGACACGAGGGGGATTTAAGAGCAGGATTTTGCCCTGCTAGGCAGACTAGTCGCTGACCAAGATGGTGTAGAAACAGATCAACAAGCATCTCTTCTAGAAGTTTTTAGTGTGGCTCTGTATCGGCTCGAGTTAGCTCAACCTGCTCGAAGTCACCTGCAAGCACGAGCCTCCCGGAGCCATCAGCGTTGCAACACCGCCGACATCGCAGTCGTGCCAGAACTCTCTTCGACTTCTCGCATCCGATCGTCGGGGACACAACGCTGCCGGTCATCACACGTATTCCTTCACCTGTTTATATCTTCGAACTTTCTCCTCCGTCGTTCTATTCTTGTTAGTTGGTGTAGTTTGTAATAGTTCTCTCTCGTAAGCTGATCTATTGTTTCTGGTATATATTTCTTTAGTTGTATCAAGTGTTGATATATTTTGTTAGTCGTATTGAAGTGTTGTATTAGATCCCGTGTGCTGCAATATCACTAGAGTAAAGTTGTTTTGTTTTCTCACGTCTCTGATCTCTTCACTGTCTCTGCTTGCGTACGGAACGAACCAACCTGCTGTCATTCCCGTCGCCGACTTCGCGCTGGCGACGCTAGAGTGGCAGCTTGTAACAAGTATCAAAGTCCAGTGGCGGTGGTTCGTGAAGGCCCGGCGGAGGTGGCGGTGGTGCAGTGGCCATT